CTGCCTGGGTTGGTTTTGAAACGTGATCCTCAGATCTCAGCCTCTTGAGTAGGTAGGATCATACAAAGTTTTTGTAAGTGAGGTTTAAGTTTTCCAAAGGCAGCCAGGAAAAAAATCACTGAAAAATGATCAAAAACGTGATTAGCTCGTCCATGTGACTTGGCGGTTGAGGTGGTTGAAGGATGTGGTGTAGCAGCTCCGGGCATTCATCCAAGAGCTGGGACTACACCTTGCGGTCAAAGGTGTCATCTACCTGGTGGAAACTGACCATGCATGATCACGGCAAGCTGATGAAACTTTCTTCTTAAATTTCTCCATCAGTGCCAGCTTTCTGCCTCCTTCTAGTTCTGGTTGTATTCCTTGTTCACTCTGTAGAACTCTTCCAACACCTCGCTGCTTGTATCATTGATCAAGATAGTAGCAAAAGACTTGGATACTATTCCCCCCCCCCCCCCCCTAGTTCGAGGGCTTAAACTCAGAGCCTGGGCACTGTCCTTGAGCTGTTTTTGCTCAAGGCTAGTACTCTGCCACTTGAGCCACATCTCCATTTCCAGTTTTTGGTGGTTCATTGAAGATAAGGGTCTCATAGATTTTTCTGCCCAGGCTGGCTTTGAACTGTGATCCTTAGATCTCAGCCTCCTGAGTAGCTAGGATGACAGGCGTGAGAGCCTTCAGAGATGGATTCTTACCTTGCCAGGGAAGGGTTTTCCTACAGCATCTGTTTTTAGCAGACTTGTCAACCCACAGTAGGCCCTCAGTTGCCAGGCTTTCTCTTACAGCCTTGGAGTGTGTTTTGAGTTGGAGGCTCAGGGCAGGGAGATAATGCAGCGGGGTCTGCAGCCTGGGCAGTCCTAAGGCCAGTGTTTGTAGTTTTTGTTTTTGTCAGTTGTGGGGCTTGAACTCTGGGTCTAAGCGCTGTCCCTCAGCTCTTCAGCTCAAGGCTAACGCTCTACCATTTGAGCTACAGTGCCACTTGTGGTTTTCTGGTGGTTTGAGATGAGTTTCATGGACTTTCTTGCCCGGGCTGGCTTTGAACCATGATCCTCAGATCTTTAGCCTCCTGAGTAGCTAAGATTAATTCATTTTTCCATCCATTGTCATGTTTTGGTGCCGGTTGTTTCAGTGTCATTTCTGATGGTGTGTGGGGCTTCCAGTTTTAGCGAAGTTAGAAAGCTAGGTAGGACCTGTGTCTTATTTCTCCTTGTCCACTTCCCTGAAGTCATTCTGTTCTGACCACAGCTCTAGCCACACCTGCCCTCTCCCTGGCCTCTACCATTGTTGACCTAGCTGAGCAGTCATTGAAAAGATTGAGAGAGATCTCTATTCATTGACAGGAAAATTTCCATAAGATCTGGAGTGGAGGGTTAGAGGTGTGACTCAAGTGGCTGAGGTCCTGCCTAGCAAGCCCTGAGTTCAAACCCAGTGCCACCCCTCCCACCCCCCTTCCCTGCAAAAAAAAAAGATGTGTGGAGTGGAAAAAAACAGATCGTGAGTGGGCATGGTGATGCATTCTATAATCCCAGCCCTTGGGAGATGAAGGAAGACTATCAAAAGTTCCAGGCCAGTGGCTCACACCTATAATCCTGGCTACTCAGGAGGCTGAGATCTGAGGATCCTGTTTCAAAGCCAGCCCAAGTAGGAAAATCTGTAAGACTCTGGGCTCCAGTGAACCTGCAAAAAGCTGCACGTGGAGGTATGGCTCAAGTGGTAGAGCATCAACCTTGAGAATAGTGTGAGGGACAAAGGCCAGGCCCTGAGTTCAAGCCTCAGTACTGTTGCACGCGCACACACACACACAGGTACACACACACGGAAACACTTTAATGTCTATCTTAATATTTCTGGTAACAAGTTGGCAGTGATTTTTTTCTTTTAATTCATAGAATAAAATCACTGGTATCTTAGATTGAATAAATATGCTATAAAGTACATTAAAAGTTGTTTTTCTCCCTTATTCCACATCCATTCAGTTCTTGTACACACACACACATACACACACACACATTTTGTGTCTTTTGGACAAAGCCTCCTGATTTCTGCCTAGGCTGGACTCAGATTGTTATCTTCCTCCCAGGTAGCTGGGATTCCAGGTTCATCTCACCACACATAGCTTGTTGGTTAAGATTGGGTCTCACTAACTTTTTGCCCAAGCTGTGATCTTTAAAAAAAAAAAAACGGTGTTTTTTAAAATCCCAAACTGAGCACTGCCGGGCCAGTGCATGTAGAAAATGCCACCCCTGATCTTGTAGGATGAGCCATAGTCAGAGTGTAGGTAACACTAGAAATGGGTAAAATTCCCCTCTGGCTCTGGGTGTAAGATAGATGTGAGCCAGATGAATTTTATGTTTTACTTGGGTTCTACCCACAAGACAGCTGAGGAGGTGATGTATTCAAGAATTCCAAAACCAGGGGCTGGGAAGGTGGCACAGTGGTAGAGCGCTTGCCTTGCATGCATGAGGCCCTGGGTTCGATTCCTCAGTACCACATAAGAAAAAAGAAAAAAGCCGGAAGTGGCGCTGTGGCTCAAGTGGTAGAGCGCTAGCCTTGAGCTGAAGAGCTGAGGGACAGTGCCCAAGCCCAG